TAGAAAGGCTGGGCACAGTGACTTACGCCTTTAATCCTAGCACTTTGGGAGGCTGAGGTGGGTGGATCACAAGGTCAGGAGTTCAAGACCAGCCTGACTTATATGATGAAACCCCTTCTCTACTAAAAATACAAAATTAGCCAGGCATGGTGGCATGTGCCTATAGTCCCAGCTACTTGGGAGGCTGAGGCAGGAGAATCACTTGAATCTGGGAGGTGGAAATTGCCGTGAGCCGAGATCGTCCCACTGCACTCCAGCCTGGGTGACACAGAGAGACTCTGTCTCAAAAAAAAAAAAGAGTTTTGTAGAGATGGAGTTTTGCTGTGTTGCCTAAGCTGGCCTCGAACTCCTGGCCTTAAGCAGTCCTCCTGCCTCGGCCTTCCAAAGTAGTGGGATTATAGGCATAAACCACTGCATTCAGTCAAATTTTATTTCTTTTATGACACACTTTCCATAGTATTATTTAAAAAGTTTAGTGATAAAGGTTATGGAGAAAGAATAGCAGTGCTTATGGTGAAAACAGCTTTGATCTTGCTCTCTCAAGATTTAGGATTAAAGGCTGGGGACAGTGGCTCATGCCAGTAATCCCAGCACTTTGGGAAGCTGAGGTGGGCAGATCACTTGAGGTCAGGAATTTGAGATAAGCCTGGCCAACATGGTGAAAACCCGTCTCTACTAAAAATACAAAAATTATCCAGGCATGATGGCGAGCACCTGTAATCCTAGCAACTCAGGAGGCTGAGGCAGGAGAATCACTTGAACCCGAGAGGCGGAGGTTACAGTGAGCCGAGATTGTGCCACCGCGCCCCAGCCTTGGCGACAAGAGCAAAAACTCCGTCTTGAAAAAAAAAAAAAAAAGGACAGGTTTGAACACCAGGTTTGTCACCTTACTATCTGTGCAATTCTGTGTGTCACTCAACCCATCTGAGCTTCTATTTCCCCATCTGTAAATCAGAAATACTACTACTTATCTTACAAGACTGTGGTAAAGATTAAATAAGATGATGAGTGTGATAGCCACCTGGCATACAAAAGGTACTAAATAAATGTTAACTGAATTCCTTCCTTCAAAGTAGGGTTGAAGTTTTCTAGTCATTTTGTAGAGCCTAAGGTATGCATACTTGGGCTTGGGATGTCTCTTACTTGATCTTAGCCAAAAGGCTGAGAAGCGATGGATAATGTTTCTCAAAATGTGAATTGAATCAGAATGTTTCACATTCCCATTGGAAATCTGTTTCCTTCTCAGTTTTCTCCATCTCAGTAAGTGACCCCACCATTCATCTATCTAGTTGTATAAGCCAAACCAATTCTGGGTGTTGAATGACAAAAGTTTAATATTACTTTGTTCTTACCTGGGATTTCTTAATTTCTCAAAAAGGTAGTGGTGTAGTTTTCCATCTGTTCCCACAGGTAGTGGTTTCCGTTATTCATGGGAATAGCAGCTTGATTCCCATCTCCACAAATGCTATTAATAGTGTTTAAGTCAGGGAACAGTAAGTACATTTGGCACATGGGACTCTTCTGTTTTGTAGCTTTCATTTGGAAAGTTCACTTTCTATAGCGTAACATTGCAACTGCCCTTTCTCCCAGCTGTTTACATTTCTCTCAGCATTGAATGGTGAATGGAAAACAAATCAGAAAAGTCAGAGTGGGCGGGAAGGTTAAGGAGACCCAACCACACCGCTTCTAGCCGGGTGACCCTGTACATTCCCTTTGAAGGCATCATCTAACTTACAGTTTCATATAAAAAACAGGAAGGTGGGCCGGGTGCGGTGGCTCACGCCTGTAATCCCAGCACTTTGGGAGGCCGAGGCGGGCAGATCATGAGGTCAGGAGATCGAGACCATCCTGGAAAACACGGTGAAACCCCGTCTCTATTAAAAATACAAAAAAAAAAAAATTAGCCGGGCGTGGTGGTGGGCACCTGTAGTCCCAGCTACTCGGGAGGCTGAGGCAGGAGAATGGCGTGAACCTGGGAGGCGGAGCTTGCAGTGAGCCGAGATTGCACCACTGCACTCTAGCCTGGGTGACAGAGCGAGACTCTGTCTCAAAAAAAAAAAACAAACAAACAGAAAGGTGATCATCTCAACTACTCTACCAGGTTGTCTTAAGAAACACAGGAATACTTGTAAATGTGAATAAAAATTTAAACGTCACATAAATGTAACATTTACTATTATTTAACAATGCCCAAACTTTCAAACTCACTATTCCTCAAATTAATCCGAATTTAAACGTTTGAGACTGGGTGCGGTTGCTCATGTCTGTAATCCCAGCACTTTGGGAGGCCGAGGTGGGTAGATCACTTGAGGTCAGGAGTTTGAGACCAGCCTGGCCAACATGGTGAAACCCATCTCTACTAAAAATACAAAAATTAGCAGGGCGTGGTGGCATACATGCCTGTAACTTCAGCTATTCGGGAGGCTAAGGCAGGACAATCACTTGAACATGGGAGGTGGGGGTTGCAGTGAACCGAGATCATGCCACTGTACTCCAGCCTGGGTGACAGAGTGAGACTATGTCTCGAAATAAAGAATTTAAACCTTTGAAAAGTTTATTTCCTCTCCCTAGTGATCTAGATTGTTATCAATACTCCAAATCTCCAAGTAGGTATCCTAGGAAACGAAGAAATACACAACTTCTTTCTGATAATCCTTGGCTACACTAGATTTCTTCTCTCTCGTAACCCTTCTGTGGTCAGCTGCCAAGGGCTTCCTTTTCCCTCTTTCCTTCCTTTTCTGCCTCCTCTCGCACATAACCAATCTCCAGCTCTCCACTTTGACCCCCATCCCCACCTGTTATGAACTAAATTGTGCCCCCCACGCCCCCCTCCCCCACCAAATTCATATGTGTAAGCCCCGACCCCCAGTGTGACTGTATTTGAAGACTGGGCCTTCAGCAGGTAATTAAGGTTAAGTGAAGTCATAATGGCGGGCCCTAATCCTATAGGACTGATGTCCTATAAGAAGAGTAACAGACCACACTAGTCGGCTTTGCTACTCTATCCTCTTTCAAGTGCAAATCATCCCAGTTTTTTTTTTTTTTTTTTTTTTTTGAGATGGAGTTTTGCTCTTTTTGCCCAGGCTGGAGTGCAGTGGCACAATCTTGGCTCACTGCAACCTCCACCTCCAAGGTTCAAGCAATTCTCCTGCCTCAGGCTCCCAAGTAGCTGGGATTACAAGCCTGCACCACTACACCTGGCTAATTTTGTATTTGTAGGAGAGACGGGGTTTCACCATGTTGGCCAGGCTGGTCTCGAACTCCTTCCTGACCTCAGGTGATCTGCCCACCTTGGTCTCCCAAAGTGCTGGGATCACAGGCGTGAGCCACCGTGCCTGGCCCATCCCAGTCTTTCATACTTAGCTTCCCATCCTTCCTTGAAGTATATATAAAAAAGATACTTCTTCCTTCTCTTCTGTCTGGTCTGGATTGCTTAACTAGACCATAAGAACCAAGGGCAGGAAATGTTCGGTATGATTCACAGCTGTGACTCAGGTGCTTGGCAAGGCAGGCATTCAACGAATCTACCGATTCGTTGAATAAATTACAAGCCACACAGTCTTGAAGAGATCATTGATCACATGTCCTCTCTCCAATATCTCCAATCTCTCCACTAGCGCCTTCTTGTTTTCACACATTTATAAGCCTCCCACATAGAACACGATTCACTTGATACCGCTGCCCTTTCAAATGTCTTGATTTTCTAATTCCTGTGAATAAGTGGCTGATTTTTACTAGCCTCCTTTAGTATAATTCAGTCCTCTTGATTCCTTTGCAATCTCATATCAGTTCCATCAACTATAGAGATAAATGAACCATAGTTACAGAGGCCTCCTTTTGAAACAAATGCAGGCCAGGTGCGGTGGCTTACGCCTGTAAACCCAGCACTTTGGGAGGCCAAGGAGTGTGGATTGCTCAGGAGTTTGAGACCAACCTGGGCAACATGACGAAACCTCATCTTTACAAACAATACAAAAATCAGCCAAGCGTCATGGCACACACCTGTAGTCTCAGCTACGGTAAAGGTTGAAGTGGGAGGGTCGCTTAAACCTAGGAGGTCAAGGCTGTAGTAAGCCATGAGGATGGCACTGCACTCCAGCCTGGGTGACAGAGAGAAACTCTGTCTCAAAAAAAAAAAAAAAAAAAAAAAAAACAACTGCAGTTATCCCTTTTCTGGCCCTTGCCTTCTTTGATCTTAGTATTCTATTTTGGGCACTGATGATAATCACCTTCTTTCTTTCTTTTTTTGAGATGGAGTCTTGCTCTGTTGCCCAGGCTGGAGTGCAGTGGCATGATCTCAGCTCACTGCAACCTCCTGAGTTCAAGCAATTCTCGTGCTGCAGCCTCCCAAGAAGCTGGGATTACAGATATGTACCACCACACCCAGCTAATTTTTTGTATTTTCAGTAGAGACCAGGTTTCACCATGTTGGTCAGGCTGGTCTTGAACTCCTGACCTCAAATGATCCGCCCACTTCAACCTCTCCAAGTGCTGTGATTACAGGCTTGAGCCACCGTGCCCAGCCTACCTTTTCTCTTAAATTCTGTTTTCATGGGGTTGAAGACATACTCTCCCTTGCTTCTATTTCTCAGACCACACTTTCTCTTCCTTGGACATATTTTAAACTTGACTTTCTGGGTCATTCTTTTTCCTTCTGAACTCTTCCTTCAGCTTTTTCTCTTAATTTCAATGATCAACTCTTTTGTTGATGACTTGTGAAATCACAGCTGAGTTGAATGATTTCATCATATTTATTTCTGTATTTATATATTTATTTTTTTGAGACAGAGTCTTGCTCTGTTGCCCAGGTTGGAGTGCAGTGGCGCAATCTCGGCTCACTGCAAACTCCGCCTCCTGGGTTCAAGCGATTCTCCCACCTCACCCTCCCGAGTAGCTGGGACTACAGGCACCCACCATCATGCCCGGCTAATTCTTGTATTTTTGTAAACACAGCATTTCACCACATTGGCCAGGCTGGTCTCAAACTCCTGACCCCAGGTGATCCACCTGCCTCGGCCTCCCAAATTGCTGGAATTACAGGCGTGAGCCTTCTTACTGCAATTCTGAAAAAACACTATTAACACTGGCAGATAGCATTTCAGACCTTTAAGATGAATATTTTTTATTTACACAATACACAATTTTGTGGCTTAGTGTTTACACTTAATTTTCTCATGTCAGTAGATATAGAACAGCCATATTTTATAAGGATCTGTCACAATTTATTTAACCAGTCCCTTGTTTTTGGGTTTTGTTGTTGTTGTTGTTGACTATTATGAAAGTTTATTTAACAAAATGTCTAATGTGAAAATGTACGTGACCTAATTTTTACATCATAGTAAAACAGGCCCTATGGAGAGAGGGCATGGGTTTCCCTGCTGAACAGCCATTATTTTTACTCATTCCAAGGCTTCTAACATGATACTATTTCCTCATATTACCACCGTTCCATTATTGTTCTGTTGCCCACTAGTCGCCATCTCCACACATTCATCTATCACAAGATTCATAAAGGGATCAAATCTCCACAATATTTCTTGGACATGTCTGCCACCATTTAATTTCAACGACAATTTCTTGTTCATAAATTTTTTCAACTGGGGAGGGTGAGCTTTTCTCATGGTGTCTGCTCTGTGGGCTCACAGATGCCTTGGAATGGAATGCACTGCCTCTCTCACTGTTTTGTTTCTGTTTTTTGTTTGTTTGTTTTGAGACAGAGCCTCGCTGTGTTGGCCAGGCTGGAGGACAGTGGTGCGATCTCGGCTCACTGCAACCTCCACCTCCCAGGTTCAAGCGATTCTCCTGCCTCAGCCTCCCAAGTAGCTACAGGAGCCCGCCACCACGCACGGCTAATTTTTTTGTTTTGTATTTTTAGTAGAGACAGGGTTTCACTATGTTGACCAGGCTGGTCTTCAACTCCTGACCTCATGATCCGCCTGCCTTGGCCTCCCAAAGTGCTGGGATTATAGGCATGAGCCACCATGCCCGGCCTTCCTCACTGTTGTTTTGTTTTGTTTTGTTTGAGATAAAGTCTCATTCTGTCACCCAGGCTGGAGTGCACTGGTGTCATCTTGGCTCACTGCAACCTCCGCCTTCCAGGAGGTTCAAGCGATTCTCATGCCTCAGCCTCCCAAGGAGCTGGGACTACAGGCCTGTACCACCACACCCATCTGAATTGTTTTTGTATGTTTAGTAGAGATGGGGTTTTACCATGTTGGCTGGTCTGGAACTCCTGGCCTCAAGTGATTTGCCCGCCTCGGCCTCCCAAAGTGCTGGGATTACAGGTGTGACCCACCATGCCTGGCGTAAACAGTCCTTCAATGTTGTATATTTAGGTTGTTTCCAATTTTTCATTCTGCATGTGTATCTTTGGACATTCATCCTGTTTTTTTCTTGGAATATTATTCCTGGCAGTGGAATTTCTGATGAAAGGATGTGTTTGAAGGTACTGTCAAATCTATCCTCTAAGTGTTCTGCCAAGGCCGGGTGTTGTAGCTCACACCTATAATCCCAACACTTTGTGAGGCTGAGGTGGGCAGATGGCTTGAGTCCAGGAGTTTAAGACCAGCCTCGGCAACATAGCAAAACCCTGTCTCTACAAAAAAAAAAAAAAAAAAAAATACAAAAATTAGCCGGCATGATGGTACATACCTGTAGTCCCAGCTACTCGTGTGTCTGAGGTGGAAGGATTGCTTGATTCCAGGAGGCACAGGTTGCAGTGAGCTGTGATCATGCCACTGCACTTCAGTCTGGGCAACAGAGCAAGACTCTGTCTTAAAAAAAAAAAAGGGGGGGGGGGAGGGCGGGTGGAGGGGTGGGCTCTGTCGATTTATATTCCTACCAACAGTTTATGAGTGCTTGTTCTCCTATCCTCTCACCAACACTCATTCTTGCCTACCTGAAGTCAGGAATTTGTCTTAAAAAAAAAAAAGGGGGGGGGCGGGTGGAGGGGTGGGCTCTGTCGATTTATATTCCTACCAACAGTTTATGAGTGCTTGTTCTCCTATCCTCTCACCAACACTCATTCTTGCCTACCTGAGAGTCAGGAATTGGTATCATATTCATTATCATTTCATTTTGTAAGTCTTTTATTATGAAGGAGGTTAAACATTTTTCATGTTTCTTGGCCATCGACACTTTGAATTAGCTGTTATATCCTATGCCTGTCTCTCACCTCTCCTTCCCCACCCATTGGTTGTTCTTGAGAAGTTTCTGACCAGAAAAAAAAAATAAATCATAAACCATTAAGGGAACTGACTGACTTTTTTAAAGGCTTAGAGTGAGTTATCAGGGAAGGAAGGGAGGGAAGAAGAAAGAGAGGAAGAGGAGGGGAGAGAGGGAGGTTCTAAAGTCCAGAGGGGAAAAATCTTAGATCAAAGATTACAAACGCAAAAAAGTTTTTTTTTTTTTTTTGCAGAAAATTCCTATTTCAAATCAATTTTATGTGGAACTCATGTACAAAACAGAAAAAAATGAAGCAGCTCTCATCAAAGTGAGAATGGGTAACCTGCTACACCTACTCAGCCTCCTCTTGCCTGGGAGAGGCTATCCAGGACCTGCTTTGTTATTTTAAGACTTTAAAAAACTAAATTTTAAAACTACTCAACAAACAAGACTAATGTACTTGTATTCTTTTCATAAATAATGCGATGAGTTAAAATTATGCCTGTTTTGGCTGGGCGCAGTGGTTCATGCCTGTAATCCCAGCACTTTGGGAGTCTGAGGCAGGTGCATCACTTGAGGTCAAGAGTTCGAGATCAGCCTGGCCAACATGGTGAAAGCGCATCTTCACTAAAAGTATAAAAATTAGCCAGGTGTGGTGCTGTGTGCCTGTAGTCCCAGCTACTTGGGAGTCTGAAGCAAGAGAATCGCTTGAATACAGGAGCAGAGGTTGCAGTGAGCCAAGATCGCACCATTGCACTCCAGCCTGGGAGACAGAGTAAGACTCCATCTCAAAAAAATAAATAAAAAAAATTATGTCTGTTTTGATAGAGCTCTCTACTTTTGAAAGAAAAAGGCATAAATGAGATCATTTGTTATGTTGTACATTATCATTCCATCTCACTAGGGTATGAACCCATGCTATTCACAACCTAGGCATCTGGTGTCATGGTACTATTCAAATTGCAAGTAGAATACTGAGAAGCAACTAATATCACCTCTAAAGAGCAACTTTGCAAATTCATACCTATGAAGTACAGGAAATTCCTAAATCTATTCCTCCAGATTTAGCCTTTCAGCCAAGGACTAATATGTCTAAAGCATAGCCACTCAAACTTCTTTTTGCTCTTTCAAACTCAAGTGCACCCACATTCATCATCTTTACCATCACATTGTTTCCCTTCTCCAGTTCCCCATTTTTTTTTTTTTTTTTTGCAGCTTTGTGACTTTCCCTTCTTCTTTTAAGCTTATCCAGTCACTAGCTTTTATTATTTTTTCCCTTTTTAAATTTTTATTTATTGAGATGGAGTTTCACTCTTGTTGCCCAAGCTGGAGTGCAATGCCATGGTCTTGGCTCACTGCAACCTCCGCTTCCCGGGTTCAAGTGATTCTCCTACCTCAGCCTCCAGAGTAGCTGGGATTACAGGCGCCCACCACCATGCCCTGATAATTTTTATATTTTTAGTACAGACAGGGTTTCACCATGTTGGTCAACCTGGCCTCGAACTCCTGACCTCAGATGATCCACCTGTCTTGGCCTCCCAAAGTGCTGGGATTACAGGCGTGAGCCACTGTGCCTGGCCTAATTTTTCCTTTACAGAGACACATAGATTTATTGTTTTCCTACTTATGTTACCATGTCTGTCTGTCTGTCTTTTTCTTTCTTTCCTTCCTTCCTTTCTTTCTTTCTCTCTCTCTCTCTTTCTTTCTTTCTCTCTCTCTCTTTCCTTCCTTCCTTCCCTCCCTTCCCTCCCTCCTTTCTTCTTTTCCTTTTCTTTCCCTCCCTCCCTCCCTCCCTCCCTCCCTCCCTTCCTTCCTTCCTTCCTTCCTTCCTTCCTTCCTTCCTTCCTTCCTTCCCCTCCCTTCCCTCCCTCCCTCTCCCTCCCTCTCCCCCTCCCTCCCTCCCTCCCTTCCTTCCTTCCTTCCTCCTTCCCTCTCTTCCTTCCTTCCTTCCTTCCTTCCTTCCTTCCTTCCTTCCTTCCTTCCTTCCTTCCTTCCTTCCTTTGTTTCGAGATGGAGCCTTGCTCTGTTGCCCAGGCTGCAGTGCAGCAGCATCATCTTGGCTCACTGCAACCTCCACCTCCTGGGTTCAAGTGATTCTCCTGCCTCAGCCTCCCAAGTAGCTGGGACTACAGGTGCGTGCCACCACGCCTGGCTACTTTTTTGTATTTTTAGTAGAGACGGAGTTTTACTGTGTTAGCTGGGATGGTCTCCATCTCCTGACCTCAGCCTCCCAAAATGCTGGGATTACAGGAGTGAGCCACCACGCCTGGCCTTTTTTCCTTTTTGAGACAGAGTCTCACTCTATTGACCAGGCTGGAGTGCAGCAGTGCCATCTCAACTCCCCGCAACTTCCGCCTCCAGGGTTCAAGCAATTCTTGTGCCTCAATTCTTGTGTAATCCTGAGTAGTTGGGATTACAGGTGTGCGCCACCACACCTGGCTAATTTTTTTTTTTTTTTCAGTAGAGACGGGGTTTTGCCATGTTGGCCAGGCTGGTCTTGAACTCCTGGCCTCAAGTTATCTCCCTGCCTCGGCCTCCCAAAGTGCTGGGATTACAGACGTGAGCCACTGCACCTGGCCACCAAATTAAGTTTTACGCAATCTAATGGCAATTTAGATTTATATGAACCTGTTTAGACTTCTGACCTGGTTTCTGGACTGTTCTCTGCTCTAGGCTTGTATTTTTCTTTCAGATTATAGGATGATCAACTTTCCAAACATTAATTTTTCAATGCTATCTAAATGAGGCACAGAAAATGTCTTAGTATGCTCCCAGCATTTTGATTTCCTCTCTGACGCTTGCATCTGACTTCTTTAGTTCTGCTTTTGTTTTGGGGCCTGGTTACAGACTGTTCTTTACATTTTTCTTTTGGGACTGAAATCATTATGTCGTATTATTGCCTAGCAGTTTTGGTTCTTGTTTTTATTGCCTCAAGTTTAGCCATCTACTTGAGCTTTATGACTTTCAGTTTAGAACAAACTCTTCAACCTGGCATTCATGGCCACCCTTGACTTGTCACTCTTATCTATTGCAGAATCTCTTTTGATTTTTTTTCAATGGATTCTTTCTGGGGTCACCATGTTGCATAACTCTAGGCAAAATCATTGATCATATTATATGTTAATGGTTTCCCGTACTGGAGCATACTATGATTTATGATTTATGTTCTGTTTTCTCAACCCATCACAGCCATTCTTTCTTCACAGTGTGGCCATGAGATGACTCCCTATAGTCCTGCCCCACTCCTCAATTTCTAGAACTGACCCTTGCCAGAAATTAGAGCTTTAAGAAATTCTGAGGCCGGGCACATTGGCTTGTGCCTGTAATCCCAGCACTTTGGGAGGCCAAGGTGGGCAGATTGCTTGAGCCATGGGCAACATGGCGCAACCTCGTCTTTACAAAAAACACAAAAATTAGCAGGGGGTGGTGGTGTACTCCTGTAGTGGCAGCTATTCAGGAGGCTAAGGTGGCTGAGGTAGGAAGATCACTGGAGCCAGGGAGATTGGGGCTACAGTGAGCGGAGACTGAGCAACTGCACTCCAGCTGGGGTGGCAGAGCAAAACCCTGTCTCTCTTTTTTTGTTTTTTTTTTTTTGAGATGGAGCTTCGCTCTTGTTGCCCAGGCTGGAGTGCAATGGCATGATCTTGGCTCACTGCAACCTCTGCCTCCCAGTTTCAAGCGATTCTCCTGCCTCAGCCTCCTGAGTAGCTGGGATTACAGGCATGTGCCACCACGCCTGGCTAATTTTGTATTTTTAGAAGAGACAGGGTTTCTCCATGTTGGTCAGGCTGATCTCAAACTTCTGATCTCACGTGATCCGCCTGCCTCGCCCTCCCGAAGTGCTGAGATGACAGGCATGAGCCATGGTGCCTGACTGTGTCTCTAAAAACAAACAAACAAACATGATGCCCCTATCAGAAAGCAGAATTCAGGTGTTAACTGAATGATGATCAACTTCCTTGTTATAAATTACTATGTTTTTATTAAGAAAATTAAAGTCACCTTGACTATAAAATCACCAAACTTTTGAAACATTATTTTCCAAACATCTTTACCTTGTTGGGTACTTTATCTTCTACTGGTTTACGTAAGATATAAGCTGGCCCTTTAATATGATCTCCTCTGAATCATAACAAAGCAAAATTTAGAAAGGAGAAATAACAAAAAGAATTCCATCAAAGATGATCAAAATGATCCCTAGCAGCTATAACCATAAGTTACAATAAGTGAAATTGAAAATGACTGATTCAATGGATTATCCGCCCAAGTTATTTGTTCAAATGCCAAGAAGTAACTTTCTTACCATAAAATTGTTTCCATATTTTCTTTTATTTTTACTAGAGCGAAATCTCAGGTGCATTTATTATTCATATGATTAAAGCATCACCTCATTAAATTCTGCAAAAAAAAATCTACAAAGCATATTTGGAACTAAAACTGAAAAAAAAAAATGAAGAACCCTTACTTTGTTCTTGGAAAATTTATTTCAGTTTAAACAACAAAGCAAATGATATTTATGTCATCTAGGGACAGATGGGAGAGTACAGTAATTCTTCATAGCTGTTTCATTGCCAAACTCCAAATGAGAGACGTAATCTAGGTAAAAGACACTTATTATTCCAGATTACATTTACCTCACAATCTGAGATCATGAAAATTAGTCAAATATATTAGAAACAGATGTACACGAAGTCGCTTCAGATAAACTGAGAAAGCGAGGTCTAATGCTTTGGAAAATTCTGCTCCTACTTAGTACTCAGATTAATGAATTTTAAAGATCAGGAACATCTTTATGGGGGTTCATAAGTGTTAGGAACAATCATATGCACTTTCATCAGTTTAATATAATTATTAGGATTCAAGATGGTATTTAAAATCTAGATGTAGGCTCAGTTAGTCAATGCCAAAAGTGAAAATCTTACATTTTTTTAGAGGAAACACAAAAATAGAACTATTTGGATCTTATCTTAATTTATAATTGATAAGTTCATTTTTAATGCTTAAAAAAATGGACATGGTAGAATTGTTACACACCTGAATAAAGGTCTCAAATAGAATGTTCCATTAACAACATCAACTCAGAAATCTAATTCACTCTACAGATTTTATTTCTGATCAACGAATCAACTTTTATTTTCTTGAGCCTGACTGCTGCTAATTATGTATAACCTGCCAGATAACTACACATCACTGATTTCCAAGCTTTTTCCATTTTATTTTTCCCCTTTAACTAAGATGCACCTAGAAATAACAAGACACTAACAAATAGCTGCAGTGGCCTTCAAAATTTCTTTTACTGGCCAGACGCAGTGGTTCACACCTGTAATCCCAGCACTCTGAGAGGCCGAGGTGGGTGGATCACCTGAGGTCAGGAGTTCGAGACCAGTCTGGCCAACATGGCAAAACCCTGTCTCTACTAAAAATACAAAAATTAGCTGGGCGTGGTAGTGGGCACCTGTAATCCCAGCTACTCAGGAGGCAGAGGCAGGAGAATAGCTGGAACCTGGGAGGCAGAGGTTGCAGTGAGCCAAGATGGTACCACTGCACTCCAGCCTCGGCAACAGAGGAAGACTCCATGTCAAAAAAAAAAAAAAAAATTCTTTTACTAACTAACTGATTGTATTCCAGTGAAGGCTAATGCCATTTTTTTTTTTTTTTTTTTTTTTTTGCGACAGAGTCTTACTCTGTCTCCCAGGTTGGAGTGCAGTGGTGCTATCTTGGCTCACTACAGCCTCTGCCTCCCAGGTTCAAGCAATTCTCGTGCCTCAGCCTTAAGAGCTGCTGGGATGACAGACGTGTGCCACCACGCCTGGCTAATCTTTGTATTTTTGGTAGGGATGGGGTTTTGCCATGTTGGTCAGGCTGGTCTTAAACTCCTGACTTCAGATGATCTGCCTGCCTCAGCCTTCCAAAGTGCTGGGATTACAGGCGTTAGCCACCCCGCTCAGCCCAATGCCAAATGTATCCAACAGTCTTTGATTCCAGAATTACTTATAATAGAACACTACATCATCTACAGAAATCTTGATCAATAACCTAGATAACCTAGTTTCTAGATTATTGATCAAGATTTCTGTAGATGATGTAGTATGTACATTTCTGTGTATGTTATTAATCAAGATTTCTGTGTAAGATCTAGAAACTAAAATGCATATTAAGAAATTAAAACTTACATCTCATAACCAATTATCTTTCTAAACAATTTACAAACATAAAATATACAATATTATTTAAAATAAATATACATATAATATATAGTTTCTACATTCTCATACAGGCTTAAAAATGAGGTAATAAAAACTGATTAAACCTTTTACCATTCTGGAAATGGCTTAGGGAAATGATGATGAAATTTTTTTTCTTAGGTCTTCATTTTTTCCTTCAATACTTCTAAGTACCTCTTTTTCTATGCTGAAAAGTTATGTAAAAAATCCTTAAGCTTTGTTGGATAGTCTGTCATCACCCCAGTTGCTCCCAAATCAAAAGCTCTTTTGTATTCTTGTTCTTCGTTTAATACCCAAATATACACCTGAAAATTAGAAGTGTGAGAAGGATGAGAAGAAATGTTAAAATAGAAAATTATTTTTATAACAGTATTTATCCACTACAATCTTGGTACATTTAGAAATAACCTTTTAAAGCTATCATTTAAATAAATCATTAGATCCTTTTTTAAAAGTTCACTTTGTTCCTTACAGGAATGAGGGGTGTTAAAAAAAAAATTCACAGTGCTTATTAAATATACACTCTCCTGGCTGGGCGCAGTGGCTCACGCCTGTAATTCCAGCACTCTGGGAGGTCAAGGCGGGTGGATCATCTGAGGTCAGGAGTTCGAGATCAGCCTGGCCAACATGGCAAAACCCAGTCTCTACTAAAAATACAAAAATTAGCCAGGTGTGGTGGTGCGCGCCTATAATCCCAGCTACTTAGTAGGCTGAGGCATGAGAATCGCTTGAACCTGGGAGGTGGAGGTTGCAGTGAGTCAAGACTGCACCACTGCACTCTAGCCTGGGTGACACAGCGAGACTCCATCTCAAAAAAAAAAAAAAAAAAAAAAAAAAAATATACACACACACACACACACACACACACACACACACACTGGCCCACCCCTATGGCAACAGCTATTCTGTACATAAGAGGAATCTAGATCCAGAAATGCCAATGCTTTATTGCTAACTGTATAGGAAGAGCTTAAGGTCCTCATTTGTGGATCAGTAAAGCAGCAGTATCAGAGTGAAGGGCCAAACTAAGTCAGTTAAAAGTTCTTGCCCTTTATATTTGTGTTAAACTGGTGAGCTATGCTGCTTCCAAAATGCATCATTCCAGAAACTTACTTGAATGCCTCGAGCAGTTAAGTGGTCAAACAAAGCTTTCCTCATTAGTAAGCTAGAAAAGAAAAAGCATAAATGATTTAGGAATCTAGTCCTTAGTCCTAATTTAGTCAATTTAGAGTTTAGTAATTCCTAGTTTAATTTAATCCCAATGCTTCAGCAATAAAAGAAATGGTCTCAAGTAATAATGGCTGTTGTGAATTAATTTATGTCTTAATTGCTGGATCTCCTTTCATTGCAGGCTGCTGGTTGGTGGACAACCAGAACCTCCTTTCTACTCCTTACTGCTACCAGATCTGTCGGAGACCCATTCTTGTTGACACAGCTCAGTAGAAAAGAGGCTGCTTCATTTTCACTGCTGAAGAAGGAGAAAGAGCTGGCTTTCCTTTCTTACTATTAATATGTGTTCCTAACTTTCCAAGTTAAAATAAGTCAACAAATGCAGGTCAATTTCTATAGCATCATAGTTCATTACACAATGGATTAGTCTTTTGTAAGCTATGTTAGAAGCATTATGTCCATTAATTACACTATCCTATGTCTAGGGAAAAAAAATTTTTTTGTTCCAAGTAACTCACTGATAAGTGAACTTTCAAAATACAAATCTCTTGAGCAAGATAGGAATTCACTGCGCTGGAAAGACATTATTTCTATTCTGTTATGTCTATTAGAATGATTAAATAACAGAAACTAGAAATCATGTGCTTTTGACACAAATTAAAAATGCATCTTGTCAGTTAATAGGGTTGAAAAAAGAAAAAAAATGCATCCTGGTTTTACATGAGCACAAAAAAAAGGCATCCTTGAAAAACTAGAGCTTAAATTGAGAATAAAGCAAAAAAGAATAAACACTGACACAAAGAAAAGATAAAACTAATTGTTTAGGACTCTTTGAAAAAGGCGTTAAGGCTGGGCGCGGTGGTTCACACCTGCAATCCCAGCACTTTGGGAGGCTGAGGTGGGCAGATCACTTGAGGCCAGGAGTTCAAAACCAACCTGGCCAACATGGTGAAACCTTGTCTCTACTAAAAAATACAAAAATTAACCAGGCATGGTGGCAGGCGCCTATGGTTCCAGCTACTCGGGAAGTTGGGGCAGAAGAATCACTTGAACCCGGGAAGCAATGAGCCAAGATCACACCACTGCACTCCCTGGATGACAGAGCAAGACTCCGTCTCAAAAAATAATAATAATAATTAAAAATAAATAAATAAGAAAAGAAAAAGGCATTAAATAATAAAAAGTTGTGATTTTAGACTATTAAAATATTTAAGCATTCAAGGTTCCATCTTAAAGCAAAATATAGTACAATTATTTTGTGATTTTTACTAAAATTAAACTCAACATGTCTAAATTAAGGCATTTTCTTTAAAGTTGATATCCATTCTATAGGTGAGATTTCCTTTCTGCTAAGTCTTGGTGCAGAGCAGATTTTTCTGAGAAATGTGCTGTAGGCAACATATACTTTTATATATATGGTGTTGTTACACGTCTTTTCACCATGCTTGGTGGAAACAGCAAGTAAGCAAAAAGGAATGGTTATTTAACCTAGTTCTGCTACTAACTAGCTAGACAACCCCAAGTAAATAATTTAACTGGGTATATGGTGGCTCAGTTTTCTCATGAAGTTGGATGAGATTCTCTCTCAAGATTCTTCCTAAGGTTTTGTGATTAGTAATTAAGATATTTCTAAATGATTCATACACATTTTACATAGCAGGTACTCAATTTGCCCTTGTTATAAATTACATGTGGAAAGCTTGCACTAAATTTTAAGGGTAGTATTTAATAGCTGAAGCAATAACTTGCATATTAAGAAGTTAAAATTCTTACAGATCAGAAAGCCAGATGAGAAACTTCTGACTTCTGGACATGGTGTGTGGTTCTTTTAGCCTAGGGTAAAATAAAGTTTGAATTACAAATTAGAAACACAGAAATATATCAGTGTGATGAAACAGATTTGAAAATGAAAACAGTGCCTTGTACTTTGTATATTCTCAAAAATATTTGTAAAAAGGACAAAAATAAAACAAAGGCCAGTTGGGTTCTGTTTGCACTGGTCTCAAGCTAACTTTTTGCCATCCCTATTCAAAAGTTAAAAATAAATAAATAAATAAATAAATAAATAAATAAACAAACAAACAAATACTGTCTTTCCAGAGACCCTGGTGCCCTAGGCTCATATCTCCTTTCTTTTTTGGTAAAATCTTTCTCCTGCTTTGTCTGCTACAATTTAGTATGCGGCAGATTTAAACATACAACAGAACTGTATTATAGATTAAAGTAAGCTGTTTACCATGTGTTTTCCTTTCCTTTAAAATATCTGTAGGCCGGCCGGGCGCGGTAGCTCACGCCTGTAATCCCAGCACTTTGGGAGGCCAAGATGGGCAGATCACGAGGTCAGGAGATCAAGACTATCCTGGCTAACATGGTGAAACCCCGTCTCTACTAAAAATACAAAAAATTAGCCAGGCATGGTGACGGGTACCTGTAGTCCCAGCTACTTGGAAAACTGAGGCAGGAGAATGGAGTGAACCTGGGAGGCAGAGCTTGCAGTAAGCCGAGATTGCGCCACTGCACTCCAGCCTGGGCGACAGAGTGAGACTCTGTCTCAAAAAAAAAAAAAAAAAAAATTCTGTAGGCCAGGCACGGTGGCTCATGTGTGTAATCCCAGCACTTGGGGAGGCTGAGGCGGTGCATCACCTGAGGTCAGAAGTTCCAGACCAGCCTGGCCAACATGGCGAAACCCCGTCTCTACTAAAAACATAAAAATTAGCCAGGCATGGTGGCATACGCCTGTAACCCCAGTTACTTAGGAGCCTGAGGCAGGAGAATCGCTTGAACCCAGCAGGCAGAGGTTGCAGTGAACCAAGATTGTGCCACTGCACTCCAGCCTGGGCGACAAAGTGAAACACTGTCTAAAAAAAAAAAAAAAAAAAAAAAAAAAAAAGTACTAAATAAAGTACAAGTCCTTTTTTCCATAACTCTGGCCCCAGTGGAAAGTCCTGGTTGCAATTTCAGGAATCTTAGGGATTTAGTAGCTCAAATACTGACTACCTCATTAAACAATCACTATATTGTCTTAGAAAATATCCACTGTCTTCCATAGAAGTATTAAAACACACAAAAAATATCCTACTTGTGTCTTAATCCATAATCAGTTTTTAGAGAAAATATTAATTCTATGGAGTTTGTTCTTAGGTCTGTATTTCAACAATATTTGCTTCTAAAAGGAACACATGAAGATAAATACAGAGCAAACAGTCCACTCCAGGCCAGATGAAAGCTAAGTACTTTAGGAATAAATGTTTTATTTATTTATTTAGAGGCAAAGTCTTGCTCTGTCGCCCAGTCTGGAGTGCAATGGTGCAATCTCAGCTCACTGCAACCCCCACCTCCCGGGTTCAAGCGATTCTCCTGCCTCAGACTCCTGAGCAGCTGGGATTACAGATGTGCGCCACCATGCCCAGCTAATTTTGTATTTTTAGTAGAGATGGAGTTTCACCATGTTGGCCAGGCTGGTATGGAACTCCTGACCTCAGGTGATCCTCCTGCCTCCGCTTCCCAAAGTGCTGAGATTACAGACAGGAGCCCCTGGCCCGGCCAGGAATTAATGTTTAGGGATAATTTTAATCTAGCAAATAAAATAGGGTTTTGTTTTGTTTTGTTTTTTTGGTAGACAAGAAGTGTTTTCTATTGTTTTGTCTAAGAAACAGCCACAAAGACTGTTCATAAATATAATTTAGGAATAAATAAACATGTTCATCACTAAGATACTGAAATTGGAAAACAGGCACGAAATAGAAGTTGAGCACAAGAGTACTGACTAAATTGTTTTTCTTTTCTTTTTTTTTTTTTTTGAGACGCAGTCTTGCTCTGTCGCCCAGGTTACAGTGCAGCGATCTTGACTCATTGCAACCTCCGCCTCTGGGGTTCAAGTGACTCTCCTGCCTCAGCCTCCTGAGTAACTGGGATTCTAGGTGCCCACCACCGTGCCTGGCTAATTTTTGTATTTTTAGTAGAGAAGGGGTTTCACCATGTTGGCCAGGCTGGTCTCAAACTCCTGACCTCCCATAGTGCTGGGATTACAAGCATGAGCCACCACACCCGGCCAATTGTTTTTATTTTTTTTTCTTTTCTTTTTTTTTTTTTTTTTGAGAAGGAGTCTCGCTCTGTCGCCCAGGCTGGAGTGCAGTGGCGCAATCTCGGCTCACTGCAACTTCCGTCTCCCAGGTTCAGGCAAGCCTGGCTAATTTTTATATTTTCAGTAAAGACGGGGTTTCACCATGTTGGCCAGGCTGGTCTCAAACTCCTGACCTCATGATCTGCCCACTTCGGCCTCCCAAAGTGTTGGGATTACAGGTGTGAGCCATTGCACCTGGCCTGCTTTTCTTACCAATATTGTTTGATGACTGCTACACTAACGATCAGCTTGATGTTTTCCCCCAAGTAATTAGCTTTATTGAGACATGCTATAAAAGAGGAAAGCTCTTCAGCTCGATTTTTTAAAGTTCTGTTGGATATGAAAAGTGTTTTCATACAAGTAAAATCACATTTAAATGATCTCCCCAACAATTCCAAATTCCTTTGTCATAATTCAGTTATGAATCTACAGCTAGAAATCACATTCTAAGTGTGTAGAATTTTGAGATGAAGCTATCATTCTTTATAATAACAAAGATAACAATAAAAGCTATCACTTATGAGTGCTTAGTATTTATCAGGCAATCTAAGTGTTTTTATGTACCTATGTATTTTTACAATCTATGTATTTTTATCTTTCTAGTAAATTAGCAAGTGAAATGCAAGGCTTTTCTGGTAGAGGAATTATGTAAATATAAAAGGATCCTGGCTGGGCAAGGTGGGTCACGCCTATAATCCCAGCACTTTGGGAGGAGGTGGGTGGATCACCTGAGGTCAGGAGTTCGAGACCAGTCTGACCAACATAGTGAAGCCCCTGTCTCCACTAAAAATACAAAAATTAGCCAGGTGACATGGTGGGTGCCTGTAATCCCAGCTACTCAGGAGGCTGAGGCAGGAGAATCACTAAACCTGGGAGGCGGAGGTTGCAGTGAGTCGAGATCACACCTTTGTACTCCAGCCTAGGCCACAATAGTGAAACTCCATCTCAAAACAAAACAAAACAAAACAAAACAAAACAGTATCCTATATAAGCTAACTGTACCCTTTTATTTTCCTATCTCCAGAGGCTTTTATGGTGGTGGTAGTTTTTCTTCCTAAATGTATTACAGTAATACCATTGTTTAATTTGGAGTTTAATGGAATTTCAGCTGGGTAGAGCTGTCAATGAAGTAGAAAGAAGGGAAAGTGGAGGGCAACTGCTATTTGATGTGAGAATAAAAGAATTATTGACCTTCTGTAATTAAACTAAATTCCTTTTATCTGATTTCTGACTATACAGGCACAGAAAATCATTATAATCTCAGATGGGTCCTGATTATTTGTTTTAGAGAATGTGTCTTATATAAAAATGCATAATATAGGTCAGGTAATAGAACATGGAAATCACTACAGAAATCTCTTCATCATTGATGTTGATATTAGCTTTTATCTTAGTCTTTCTATAATTGATAATTAATTTTAAAATAAAAGGGTAACCACTTACTTCAGTATAATAGAAGGCATTGGGATTTCAAAAAACTGTTCTCGAATGGGCACAAAGGGCAAGAGGCCAGTGAAGAAAAGGCCAAGAATGAGCAGGACACGTTGTAGACTGAAAAGTATAGGAATATCTGAATTCTAAAAGACACAAGCAATATTACATGTTACTTTTACAATCACTCAAATAAAGAGGATTACTTCACAACTCTCAATATTTCCCAAGACAATATTTTGAAATCTATTACAAGCATTCCCGGGATTATGAATATTTATTTGCAAATAACACTACACTTAATAGTGGTTAGTCCTTGACAAATGGGTTAGGATTGATCGTGGAGCCTCATAGTGTAATAATGTTACTAAAATTTCTCTATTACCATCTCTGCTTTTGCAATACCACTTCTGTCTGTTGGTTAGGGTACCTACAGCTAAAGACTTAACATGTCAGAATCCAATGGAACAAAATGAAAAGATGAAAAGATGGAATATTCAGTAACTTTACTCCTGTTTAAAAAATATGTAGCTATATATCTCTATATATGAGTATATATAGATACACATCAATACTGTTGCAAATGTGTCATCTTTTAGCTATGTTATGAATCAAATATAAAATACAAATTAGTTTGTAAACTAATTCAAGAATCTAACCACCATTTTAAGTTTCTATTGGAAAAATGCTCAATATCCCAAAAGTTTAAAAATACAAGATAGACATACATATATATATATAATTTTAATTGTGCTAAAATACACATAACATAAAATTTAAGATTTTTTTTTTTTTTGAGATGGAGTCTCACTCTGTCACCCAAGCTGGAGTGCAGAGGCACAATATCGGCTCACTGAAACCTCTGCCTCCTGGGTTCAAGCAATTCTCCTGCCTCAGCCCCCCAAGTAGCTAAGACTACAGGCACACACCACTATGCCCGGCTAATTTTTTGTATTTTTAGTAGAGATGTGGTTTCACCATGTTGGCCAGGCTGGTCTCAAACTCCTGACCTCAAATGATCTGCCTGCCTTGACCTCCCAAAGTGCTGGGATTACAGGTGTGAGCCACCACGCCAGCCAAAACTTAAGATCTTTTTTTTTTTTTTTTTTTGAGGCGGAGTCTCGCTCTGTCGCCCAGGCTGGAGTGCAGTGGCCAGATCTCGGCTCACTGCAAGCTCCGCCTCCCGGATTTAGGCCATTCTCCTGCCTCAGCCTCCCGAGTAGCTGGGACTACAGGCGCCCACCACCTCGCCCGGCTAGTTTTTTGTATTTTTTTGTAGAGACGGGGTTTCACTGTGTTAGCCAGGATGGTCTTGATCTCCTGACCTTGTGATCCGCCCGTCTCGGCCTCCCAAAGTGCTGGGATTACAGGCTTGAGCCACCGCGCCCGGCCAAAACTTAAGATCTTAATCATTTTTAAAATTTATTTTTTCACCACCCCCACCACCCACCACCCAGCAAAATTGAATGTCAATCATTTTTAAATGTACAGTTTGGTGGTTTTAAGTATATTCACACTGTTGTGCAACCAAAGTCCAGAAGTCTTTTCATTTTGCAAAACTGAAAACAACTCTATGCCCCCGGCCCCCTACTTTTTTTTTTTTTTTTTTGAGACAAGGTCTCACTGTCACCTAGGCTGGAGTGCAGTGGCACAACCAAAGCTCACTGCATCCTCGACCCTGACTCAGGTAACACTCCCACCTCAGTCTCCTGAGTTATAATAGATGGGGCTACAGGCGTGTGCCACCATGCCCAGCTAATTTTTTGTATTTTTGTAGAGATGAGGTTTCACCATGTCACCCAGGCTGGTCTCGAACTCCTGGGCTCAAGCAATCCACCTGCCTCAGCCTCACAAAGTGCTGGGATTATAGGCGTGAGCCACCTTGCCTGGCCAACTTTATACCGTTAAACAACAAATGTCCATTCCCTCTCTCCTTGCCCTTCTATGTGTATATATGTATGTGCGTGTGTGTGCGTGCGTGTGTGTGTGTGTGTGTGTGTGTATTAGACAGGGTCTTGCTCTGTCACCCAGGCTAGAGTACAGTGGCCGGATCATGGCTCATTGTAGCCTAGACCTCCCAGGCTCAAGTGATCCCACACCTTAGCCTCCCACACAGCTGGGACTACAGACATGCACTACCATGCCGAGCTAATTTTTCAAAAATTTTTTGTAGAGACAGAAATTCATCATATTGCCTAGGCTGGTCGTGAACTCCTGGGCTCAAGCATTTCTCCTACTTCAGCCTCCCAAAGTGCTGGAATGACCAGAGTGAGCTACCATGCCAGGCCCTGTTATATTTACTGAGAGAAAAAAAAATTACGCTTACAGGGAACTTTTAATAAAAACATAACGTATTTTTTAATCACATAAAAGTAATTTATTTTAAATAGTTAGTTCTAGGCTGGGCACAGTTGCTCACGCCTGTAATCTCAGCACTTTGGGAGGCCAAGGTGGGTGGATTCACTTGAGGTCATGAGTTCGAGACCAGCCTGGCCAACATGGTGAAACTCTGCCTCTACTAAAAATACAAAAATTAGCCGGGCCTGGTGGCATACACCTGTAACCCCAGCTACTCGGGAGGCTGAGGCAGGAGAATCTCTTGAACCCGGGAGGTGGAGTTTGCAGTGGGCCGAGATTGAGCCACTGCATTACAGCCTGGGTGACAGAGTGAGACTCTGTCTCAAATTTAAAAATTATATAAATAAATAAATAGTTCTAAATTATCTACTTCTTTATTTTTAAAAAAACAGTAAATAAGTTTGAGAATTTATTTTGCCCCTTTGTTTACATGGTGCTTTGTAATGTTTTTGGCTTACTTATATATGGGTGTTTCAGTTGTAAGAAAATATACAAGTCACTGCAAAATCTTGAGTTCTGCAAATTCATACACTAAGGATAACAGAGCTTATAGGGAAAACAGGGTTAGGGGCTGACCCTCAAAACTTACAGCCAGGTACGGTGACTCACACCTGTAATCCCAGCACTTTGGGAGGTTGAGGAGGGTGGATCACTTGAGGTCAGGAGTTTGAGATCAGCCTAGCCAACATGATGAAACCCTCTCTACTAAGAATACAAAAATTAGCCAGGCATGATGGCAGGCACCTGTAATCCCAGCTACTCTGGAGGCTGAGGCAGGAGAATTGCTTGAACTCAGGAGGTGGACGTTGCAGTGAGCCGAGATCGTGTCACTGCATTCCAGTGTGGGCAAGAGTGAGACTCTGTCTCAAAAAAAAAAACTTGGCTGGGCACAGTGGCTCACGCCTGTAATCTCAACACTCTGGGAGGCCGAGGCGGGTGGATCATCTGAGGTCAGGAGTTCAAGACCAGCCTGACCAACATGGAGAAACCCCATCTCTACTAAAAAATACAAAAATTAGCTGGGCATAGTGCCGTGCGTCTGTAATCTCAGCTACTCAGGAGGCTGAGACAGGAGAATTGCTTGAACCCACAAGGCAGAGGTTGCAGTGAGCCAAGATTGTGCCACTGCACTCCAGCCTGGGTGACAGAGCAACACTCCATCTCAAAACATAAAATAAAATAAAATTAAATTAAAAATACTTATGCAACTTTGGAACCAGAGCACTAAAAGAAAGAACCATTGCATTAAGTGTGAAAGAGTGAAAAATCATTAAGTGCCACATTTTCCCACTACCACTATGTGCCCCAATTCCTTTAATGTTTATATTTTGAGTTTACATCTGGAAATTAAAGGACTAATGTAAAATTCTTATAAGTCATACTGTAAGAATTGCAAAAGTAGGCTGGCCGTGGTGGCTCACACCTGTAATCCCAGCACTTTGGGAGGCCAAGGCTGGTGGATCACCTGAGGCTGGGAGTTCAAGACCAGCCTGACCAACATTGAGAAACCCCATCTCTACTAAAAATACAAAAAATTAGTCAGGCGTGGTGGTGCATGCCTGTAATCCCAGCTACTTGGGAGGCTGAGGGAGGAGAATCGTTTGACCCGGGAGGCGGAGGTTGTGGTGAGCTGAGATCGTGCCATTGCACTCCAGCCTGGGCAACAAGAGCAAAACTCCATCTCAAAAAAAAAAAAAAAGAAAGAAAAAAAGGAAGAGAATTACAAAAGTTGTGTCAATTATATAGCATGTTGGTAATATGAATGACAAATTTTATTGAGACATTTTTACTGTGATGTTTGGAAATTGCTGCTGAAAGGTTTTTGGAATTTTTAAATTAAAAAATGACAGAAAGCCAGAGGCTTCTGGAAAAATATGGGAATCAAGGGAAAAGTTCTGTGATTACAGGCCAAAAGTGAGCCTTTTATTTTGAAAGAATTATAGACTTAATCTCAGCACTTTGGGAGAACGAAACAAGATGATTGCTTGAGCTTAGGAGTTTGAGACCAGCCTGGGCAATACAGTGAGACTGCATCTCTACAAAAAAATTTAAAAATTAGCCAGGCATGGTGGTACACACCTGTAGTACAGTATAGTCCCATGCAGCCTTCACCCAGCTTCCCCAAAAGGTGACACTGATGTAACTATAGTATAGTATCAAAACCTGGAATTGACATTGGTACCTTACTGTTCATTAGACTACAAACTTTATTCAATTTTCATCAGTTTTTAAACACCACATTCATTTGTTTGTGTGTAGTTCTATGCAATTTTAACCCATGTATAGATTCATGTAACCACTACCACAATCAAGATACAAAGCTATGGCTGAGCATGGTGGCTCACACCTGTAATCCCAGCACTGTGGGAGGCTGAGGCGGGTGGATCACCTGAGGTAGGGAGTTTGTGACCAGCCTGACCAACATGGTGAAAACCCATCTCTACTAAAAATACAAAAATTAGCCAGTGTAGTGGCGGGCACCTGTAATCCCAGCTACTCGGGAGGCTGAAGCAGGAGAATCACTTGAAGCCGGGAGGCGGAGGTTACAGTGAACCGAGATCGCACCATTGCACTCCAGCCTGGGTGATACAGTGAGTCTCAAAAAAAAAAAAAAAAAAAGAAGAGAGAGAGATACAAAGCTGTTTCATCACCACACAAGAACTTTTTCTTGTATTGGTGCCCACTCTCTACCCTACCCTAAGTCCCCGTCCCCTAATCTGCTCTTCCAGGCTATGGTTAATGGAATCTACAATACAGTTTGAGGTTGATTTTTCACTAAGCATAATGTCTTTGAGGACCATCCAGGTCGTTGCATGTATCAATAGTTCATTCCCTTTTACTGCTGAATAGTATTCCATTGTATGGAAATGTCAGAGTTTGTTCAGTCATTTACCCACTGAAGGTCATTTAGGCTATTTTCAGGATTTTGCTTTTATGAATAAAGTTGCTATAAACATTCATGTATAGGTTTTAGAGACTGTGCCTTCATTTTACATGGAAGGCTGCATCTCCCTGGTAACATATTTTTATTAAAAAAAAAAAATGCCTGTAATCTCAGCATTTTGGGAGAACAAGACAAGAGGATTGCTTGAGCCTAGGAGTTTGAGACCAGCCTGGCCAATACAGTGAGACTCCATCTCCACTAACAATTTAAAAATTAGCCAGGCATAGTGGTACACACCTCTAGTCTCAGCTACTCAAAAGGCTGAGGTGGGAGGATCACTTGAGGCCAAGAATTCAAGATCAACCTGGGCAACAAAGTGAGACCTTGTCTCTGCAGAAAAAATCGAAAAATTAGCCAGGCATAGCAGCATGCACCTGTGGTCCAAGCTACACAGGAGGCTGAGACAGGAGACCATCTGAACCCAGGAAGTCAAGGCTGCAGTGAACCAAGATCACACCACTGCACTCCAGCCTCAGTGACAGAGCAAGACCTTGTTTTAAATAATAATAATAAAATAAACCATTAAATTAAAAAAAATTCATTTACAGGTTTTTGTAATCATATATTTCATTTTTCTGGGATAAATGTCTAAGATTGCTGGGAGTTATGGAAGAGTCTAAATTCTAAGTTCTTAGGAATCTAAAGCCACTCAGCCCAGTGATTACTGTGTTCTCTCCTTTTGTACACAGTTACCTTGGGATCTCTCAGGCCATGCTGCACATAAAACTTACTTGCTTTAGGCCAGGTATGGTGGCTCACACTTGTAATCCCAGCACTTTGGGAGGCTGAGGCAGGCAGATCACTTGAGGTCAGGAGTTCAAGACCAGCCTGGCCAGCATGGCAAAACCCCATCTCTACTAAAGATACAAAAATTAGCTGGGCATGGCGGCACGCGCCTGCAGTCCCAGCTAGTCGGGAAGCTGAGGCAGGATAACTGCTTGAACCCAGGAGACGGAGGTTGCAATGAGCCTAAATCACGCAACTGCACTCCAGCCTGAGCTAGAGTCTCCAAAACAATAACAACAACAACAACCTTACTTGCTTTAGTGGGAATCTCAATTATACTCTGAATTGTAATGATGCTGACTGTGCATGTTTTTGCCTTCTCTGCTAGGAAGGAAGGCCTGCCCAAAGAAGTTTTTTGTTTTGTTTTGTTTGTTTTTTAAGGCTAATCAAATGAAGCAGTGGGAGTGGAGAAATAAATAAATCTGTAACTGGTTGTAATCAATTAATTGTAAACACCATTACACTCAGATCAGCCACCAAAGAGTTCTTTGTATTTGAAAAGTGCTACTTATATCATGATATTTCTTCTATATTACAGATTATTTCAGCATCTTCAATGCTCAAGATTTTTTAACATCTTAAATTTCAAATTCTCTTAGCTGATGATGTACGTAAATTTGCTTATGAAGGTTTAACTATACTTTTAAAACATATAAATTAATTTTTATCCACTTTGTTTCTTTTTTTGAGACAGAGTTTCAGTCTGTTGCCCAGGCTGGAGTGCAGTGGTGCGATCCCAGTTCATTGCAACCTCTGCCTTCTGGGTTCCAGCCATTCTCCTGCCTCAGCCTCCTGAGTTCCTGGGATTACAGGTGCGCACCACCATGCCCAGCTAATGTTTGTATTTTTAGTAGAGATGGGGTTTCACCATGTTGGCCAGACTGGTCTCGAACTCCTGACCTCAGGTGATCCACCTGCCTTGGCCTCCCAAAGTGCTGGGATTACAGATGTGAGCCACTGCGCCCGGCCGACATATTTTTTTAACCAGAAAATTTTCAGTGGGTAGATGGTCCTGCTTTTATATCTTGCTTAATAATCATGATCGTGCATGATCTTGTCTTAACTTGCTTAAATTTATTTGGAAGTTATAGAGTTGAGGAACCGAATTTTTTTCTATATTTTTTTTCTTAAAGATAACAGGATTTTTTTTTTTGAGACATGGTCTGGCTTTGTCACCCAGGCTGGAGTACAGTGGCAGGATCTTGGCTTACTGCAACCTCTGTCTACCAAGCTCAAGCCATCGTTCCACCTCAGCTTCCCAAGTAGCTGAGACTACAGGCATGTGCCACCATGCCTCGCTAGTTTTTGTATTTTTAGTAGATACGGGGTTTCCTCATGTTCCCTAGGCTGGTCTCGAACTCCTGAGCTCAAAGTGATCTGTCCGCCTTGGCCTCCCGAAGTGCTGGGATTACAGGGGTGTGAGCCACTTAGCCTGACCCTAAATAATTTCTTTTCCTTTCTTTCTTTCTTTTTTTTTTGAGATGGAGTCTTGCTCTGTCACTCAGGCTGGAGTGCAGTGGCGCTATCTCAGCTCACTGCAGTCTCTGCCTCCCAGGTTCAAGCAATTCTCCTGCCTCAGCCTCCCTAGAAGCTGGGATTACAGGAGCACGCCACCATGCCCGGCTATTTTTTGTATTTTTAATAGAGACAGGGTTTCACCATGTTCGCCAGGCTGGTCTTGAACTCCTGACCTCAGGTGATCCGCCTGCCTCGGCCTCCCAAAGTGCTGGGATTACAGGGGCGAGCCACCGTGCCCACCATTTTTTTTTTTTTTTAATAGAGTTGGAAGTCTTACTATGTTGCCCAGGCTGGTCTCGAATTCCTGGCCTCAAGCGATCTTCACCCCTTAACTAATTTCTTTCTTTAAAAAAAAAAATAGGGCACATGTTCTCAGGATTTCCTGAGGGCTGTGTCACAGGCAAAAGAAAATTAAAAATTAATAATAATAATAACAGACAGGGGGTCTGACTATGTTGTCCAGGCTGGTCTCAAACACCTGGGCTCAAGCAATCCTCCCACTTTGGCCTCCCAAAGTGCTGGGATTACAGGCATGAGCCACCGTGCCCAGCTAAATAATTTAACTCAAAATTACACAAAAAATTTCAATTACCTAACACAAGACAGTGATTAAAAGATAGAAACCATATTTTTCCCTTTAATACACATAATAAAATATTGGTAAGCAACTAACACTAGCATGTGAAAATAATAATTCCTTGAACCAGTTCAACTGCATTGATCTTATATTGCTAGGTCCAAATCCGTTACCTCTACTATATTAAACTTCTGGCTAGTTGCTTCCACCCAGTACCATCTACCTGTGTATGAAGGTTATGAAATAAAATAAGTTTTTTTTTTTTGGAGACAGAGTCTGGCTCTGTCACCCAGCTTCCTGGGTTCAAGCGATTCTTCTGCCTCAGCCTCGTGAGTAGCTGGGACTACAGGCACGTGCCACCATGCCCAGCTAGTTTTTGTATTTTCAGTAGAGACAGGGTTTCACCATATTGGCCAGGTTGGTCTTGAACTCCTGACCTCGTGATCTGCCTGCCTTGGCCTCCCAAAGTGTTGGGATTACAGGCGTGAGCCACTGTGCCCAGTCTGAAATAAGGTAAGTTTTAAAAATTATTACTGTAATAGGGGCCGGGCACAGTGGCTCACACCTGTAATCCCAGCACTTTGGGAAGCCAAGGTAGGAGGATTGCTTGAGTCCAAGAGTTTGAGATCAGAGTGGGTAACATAGTGAGACCTCATCTCTACTAAAGATTTAAAAATTAGCTGGGTGCAGTGGTGTGTGCCTGGAGTCCCAGTTACTTGGGAGGCTGAGGCAGGAGGATCGCTTGAGCCCAGGAGTTTGAGGCTACAGTAAGCTATGACTGCACCACTGCACTCTAGCCTGGGTGACAGAGTGAGACCCTATCTCTAAAAATGAGAAAAAGAAAAAAAAATTATTACTATAATAACTTATCATTTATAGATACAAAAACAACAACAAAAATAGATAATTCTGTATAATTTTTGAAGCTTACCTCTTTGTAGCACTTTTCTACAATTTCATAATTGGCATTACCCCACACTGTTATGTGTTCGCGATTATACTGCTTCACCAACTCTGAAACCTACGTGTGAAAATTCAAAATTTTATGCATGTGCCTATTTGCAAATCCACTAACATTTCACTTAAAAAATGAATTAGGATTGACTCTCTGTCAATGAATAGCATAATATTTTAGAAGAATATTATGTAAATTTAGAATATTTTATAAAATGCAAAATTTACTCACATTATATCATTATATAATTCATTTAACAGAATACAGTTATTTAGTAATTTGACATAAACTAACCACGAATGAAACAAGTTAAACTAGAAGATAATTATATAAATACCAGAATGACTGGTTCATACAAGCTTACTTTATCCATGACATGCCAACTCTCTCTGAAAATAGGCTCTCCTACAGTAACATGATCTCTTCTACTAGGGCATTATTTAAAACAATGCTGATCCCTAGGGTATCACATTTCCTTGAGCATTATCAATCTATGCAGTCACCTACTCTAACCTTATTTAGTTTGTGAAATAGGATGCAACACACCCAGAGGAGGCAATGCCTTGAGTACCTTCTTAATCAGCACATTGTTGTTGACTTTGATATCGATGTTAATGGGAGTGTTAGGAAAGGCCTCAAAAACTTCCTTCAGTAATGGAATTCGGTTATCTTTTCCTTCACATTGGCATGCTGAGAAAGCAAGATTTTTAAATGTATTTTTAAAATACAAGTTTTGCTTTTTGATGACTAGAAAAGGTATAGAATATATTCATTAAAGGACATTTACAAAATAAGAAAAAGTATAGAGAAGAAAAAATCATGTTAATCTAACAACTTAGATATAAACGCTGTGACCATTTGGTGTACTTTCTCTACTCTTTTTTCCTATGCATCATTTAATACAGTAATAATATGACATGCTACAGATTTTAACTTGATATTTTCACATAAAAATAAATATTTTCCTGTTGATTTACTGTGCTTATGATTATGATTTAGTTTTTATTAATTTTTTATTTTGAGATAACTACAGACTCACAATCAATTGTAAGAAATAATAGGGTCCATGTACCCTTTATCCAGATTTCCCAGTGGTAACCTTCTTGCAAATCTATAGTACGATATCACAACCATGATACTGACATTGATACAATCCACCGATCTGATTCTATCTTAATTTTTTAAAACGTGTCAGAATACTCCATTGAGTAGCTATACAATAATTTATTTTAATTTAACCATTTCCCTACTAGTAGATACTGAGATTGTTTCTAAAGTTTTGCTATATCATCATTGACTTTTTCAGAGATTAAAAATAACATTCAGGCAAGGGAAGTACACACTAAATCAGTAATGTGTTGAAGAATTACATGAATGCAGTTATTCAAAGAAAATTCAAGTAATGAGAAAATTAGAAGGGGACTTTAATTGTTGTTTATATTTCCTGAGGATTATTTTCTTTAGTCTTTCTCTAGTCCCTTTGGTTGGTGGTTGGTTGGTTGTTTGAGACAGGGTCTCACTCGGTCACCCAGACTGGAGTGCAGTGACACAATCTTGGCTCACTGCAACCTAAGCCCACTTTAGCCTCCTGAGTAGCTGGAACTACAGGAACACCACCATGCTCGGCTAATTTTTTTGTAGTTTTTGTAGAGATGGGGTTTTGGATTTGGCCAGGCTGGTCTCAAAATCCTGTGTTCAAGTGATATGCCCGCCTCGGCCTCCCAAAGTGCTGGGATTACAGGCATGAACCACGTACCCAGCCCTTTTTTGTTGTGTTTTTGAGACAGGATCTTGCTCATAGCCAAGGCTGGGGTGCAGTAGCATGATGACTCACTGCAGCCTCCCACACTCCAGCAATCCTCTGGGACAACAGGCACGCACCACCACGCCCATCTCTCTCTCTATATATACACACACACACACACATTATATATATATCATATATAATATATATACTGTATATAATATATATACTATATACTCTCTCTATATAGAGTATATATACATCTCTCTCTCTCTATATATATATACACACACACACACACACACACATTTTTTTTTTTTGAGATGGATTTTCGCTGCTGTCGCCCAGGCTGGAGTGCAATGGCGTGATCTCGGCTCACTGCAACCTCCGCCTCCTGGGTTCAAGCAATTGTGCTTCAGCCTCCTGAGTAGCTGGGATTACAGGTGCCTGGCACCACAACTGGCTACTTTTTTGTAATTTTAGTAGAGGCAGGGTTTCACCATGTTGGCCAGGCTGGTCTCAAACTCCTGGCCTCCAGTGATCCAGCAGCCTCGGCCTCCCAAAGTGCTGGGATTACAAGCGTGAGCCACTGCACCTGGCCTATTTTTTGTTTTATTTTTTTTAATTTTTAATTTTTTTTTTTTTTTGAGACAGAATAAAAAAATTGTCATCCAGGCTGGAGGGCAGTGGCCGGATCTCAGCTCACTGCAAAAGCTCCGTCTCCTGGGTTTACGCCATTCTCCTGCCTCAGCCTCCCGAGTAGCCGGGACTACAGGCACCCACCACCTCGCCCAGCTAGTTTTTTTTTTTTTGTATTTTTTAGTAGAGACGGGGTTTCACTGTGTTAGCCAGCATGGTCTCGATCTCCTGACCTTGTGATCCGCCCATCTCGGCCTCCCAAAGTGCTGGGATTACAGGCTTGAGCCACCGCGCCCGGCCTTGTTTTATTTTTTGTAGCAACAGGGTCTCACTGTATTTTGCCCAGGCTGGTCTTGAACTCCTGATCTCAAGCAAACCTGCCACCTCAGCCTCCCTAAGTGCTGGGATTACAGGTGTGAGCCACCACACCTGGCTCTCCAGTCCCTTTTGACTCTAATGACTCTAATCATTTATATAATTTACTATACATACTATACAACTATTGTAAAAATTGTTCTGCTTCCACCCGAAACTTCAATTCCGCTAATCTGCAAATAACAAACTGGTGAAAAATCCTTTATTCCATCTTATTATACAGCAAATCAAAAAAATGCATTATCAAAAAGTAAATGAAATCCATGTCAGAAAATTAAATTATTTATAATTAGAACCTATGTGAAAAGCAGCATGTACATTAAAGAGGAAAAAAGGAAGTCTGTTACTATACTTCTTGTAATTCTGACGGGGGTCTGGGTTACTCTGATGGGACTGGCAATTATTGGCTCTGCCTCTCTGACCACAGACTAAATATATGACCAGTCTAACCTGTTAAGCATAACAATATGGACACTGGGAGAGAAGGCCTCTTGAAATCCTTTGCTGAATGGATCATGTACAAGCTGCCAAGAGTTCATCTCTGTGGAAAGGGTGTCCCTAAAAGCAAAGCTAACACAAATGAAAGCAAAAGCAAGAAACGGAGATAGAGAGAGACCAATTACTGCTTGAGCAACTGGAATCAGTCATGTCTGAGGGCATATAACCCCTGGACTTTCTTTCTAATTATGAAAGCCAATACATTCTTTTTAAAATTTTTTTCTTTTTTTTTTTTTTTTTTTTTTTTTTTGAGACGGAGTCTTGCTCTGTAGCCCGGGCTGGACTGCAGTGGCCGGATCTCAGCTCACTGCAAGCTCCGCCTCCCGGGTTTACGCCATTCTCCTGCCTCAGCCTCCCGAGTAGCTGGGACTACAGGCGCCCACCACCTCGCCCGGCTAGTTTTTTGTATTTTTAGTAGAGACGGGGTTTCACCGTGTTAGCCAGGATGGTCTTGATCTCCTGACCTCGTGATCCGCCCGTCTCGGCCTCCCAAAGTGCTGGGATTACAGGCTTGAGCCACCGCGCCCGGCCTAAAATTTTTTTCTTAAGCTATCTTGAGATGTATATCTAACACTTATAACTGAAGGAGTTTAAACTTATCATAGGCTACATAATTAAACTTTAAAAATTATGTTTATAGTAGATAGCTTGTATACATATATATATATATATTTTTTTTTTGAGACAGGGTCTCAATCTGTCACCCAGGCTGGAGTGCAGTGGCATGACCACAGCTCACAGCAGCCTTGAACTCAGCTCCAGTGATCCTCCTGCCTCAGCCTCCGAATAGCTGAGATTAGAGGCATGTGCCACCATACCTGGCTTTTTCTTTTCTTTTTTTTTTTTTGGAGACAGAGTCTCGCTCTGTTGCCCAGCCTGTAGTGCAGCGGTGCCATCTCGGCTCACCACAACCTCCGCCTCCAGGGTTCAAGCAATTATCCTGCCTTAGTCTCTGGAGTACCTGGGATTACAGGCATCTGCCCCACGACGCCTGCCTAATTTTGTATTTTTAGTAAAGATAGGGTTTCTCCATGTTAGTCAGGCTGGTCTTGAACTCCCAACCTCAGGTGATCTGCCCACCTTGGCCTCCCAAAGTGCTGGGATTACAGGCGTGAGCCACCATGCCTGGCTCCCCTACCCCACCTTTTTTTTTTAAGTAGAGATGAAGTCTTGCTTTATTGACCAGGTTGGCCTTGAATTCCTGGCCTCAAGGGATCCTCTCACCATGGCCTCCTTGAATGCTGGGATTATAGGCATTAGCCACCAATATTCTTCCTTCCTTTGGAAACCTGTATTTCACATCATATCTCCTTATCTCACATTGTTCCGATAGGGCTGTCAACACACTACCCACTGCCCATTCACCCTCGGGGGTGGCATATAATCATAATAGCCCACTTCTTTTCTTCAAGATGGCCACATGACCCAAGGTGGGCCAATCAGTGTCTTTCTCTGGGACTTCATGCTTGAAGCTCATAAGGAAGACTGCCTTTTTGTCATGGTGTGGGCAAATTAAAAAATTAATTTAGCAGTCAAGTAAATGCATGTAAGAATCAGTTTACAAAAAGGTCAAACAGATTAAACTAACTTTGGAACAGCAAAATAACACATAAGAATATTCTATCTAACAGCGAGGGAATGAGAAAACTAAAATGTGTGCTGAGGAAAAAAAAAGTGCTATAGTGATGTAAAGATACAAATATTAGGCCAGGTGCAGTGGCTCACTCCTGGAATCTCAGCACTTTGTAAGGTTGAGGCAGGAAGATTGCTTGAGGCCAAGAATTCAAGACCAATCGGACCAACATAGCGAGACCCGATCTCTACTTAAAAATAATAATGGATAAATTAGATGCCTCAGCCAGTTTAGAATGTAGAAAAACATGTGGAAAAAGAGAAGTTTACCCCAGTATTTTTCTAGGCAGAAGGTAACCAGCTAGGAAGTGGTGGACTATAAAAAGAAAAGAGGAAAATAATAGGAAATAGGAAAAATAGACAAGGAGTATGCCATAGGATGTGTTGGTTGATGGAATAGTGGACCCTATGCAAGTTAGGGGCCACTATTTAAATAGTTTTCACTATTTGGGGAACTCTAAAATGATAATTATAGTCAACTCTAGATTATCCAAATTATGCGTTTTCCATGAAAAAAAAAAAAAAAAAAAGGTTACTTTCAACTAATTGGGATAGATAATAACAAGTTTTGTTTTGTTTTGTTTGAGACAAAGTCTCGCTCTGTTGCCCAGGCTGAAGTGCAGTGGCATGATCTCAGCTCACTGCAATCTCCACCTCCCACTTCAAGTGATTCTCCTGCCTCAGTCTCCGAAGTAGCTGGGAGAACAGGCACATGCCACCATGTCCAGCTAATTTTTGTATTTTTAATAGAGATAGGGTTTCACCACGTTGGCCAGGCTGGTCTTGAGCTCCTGACCTCAGGGGATCTTCCTGCCTCGACCTCCCAAAGTTTGAGGATTACAGGTGTGAGTCACTGTGCCAGGCCAATTCAGCATTTTTTTTTTTTTTTTTTTTTGAGACAGTCTTGCTCTGTTGCCCAGGGTGGAGTGCAATGGCATGATCTTGGCTCACTGCAACCTTTGCCTCCCGGGTTCAGGTGATTCTTCAGCCTCAGCCTCCCAAGTAGCTGGGACTACAGGTGTGCATCACCACACCTGGCTAATTTTTGTATTTTGGCTAGGCATGGTGGCTCATGACTAATCCCAGCCCTTTGGGACAAAGAGATGGGCAGATCACCTGAGGTCAGGAATTCATGACCAGCCTGGCCAACGTGGTGAAACCTCGTCTCTACTAAAAATACAAAAATTAGTTGGGAGTGGTGGCGGGCATCTGTAATCCCAGCTACATGGGAGGCTGAGGCAGGAGGATCGCTTGAACCTGGGAGGCAGCGGTTGCAGTGAGCTGAGATTGTGCCACTGGGCGACAGAAGCAAAAGTTCATCTCAAAAAACAATAATAAAAATTTTAAAATTTTTGTATTTTTAGTAGAGACAGGGTTTCGCCATGTTGGCCAAGCTGGTCTCAAACTCCTAACCTCAAGTGATCCACCTGCCTCGGCCTCCCAAAGTGCTGGGATTACAGGTGTGAGCCACTGTGCCCGGCCTGGTAAGCAAGAATTCTATGCAAGGAAATAGGATAGAAAAAATGGAACCACTGTTTGACGAATCTGAGTCAAGTTTCTTGTTTTCTTTTCTCTCTTTTTCTTTTTTCTTTTTTTTCTGAGACAGAGTCTCACTTTGTGCAGTGACACAATCAAGGCTCACTGCAGCCTCCACCTCCTGGGCTCAGCAATTCCCCCACCTCAGTCTCCCTAGCTAGGACCACAGGTGCATACCACCATGCCTGGCTAATGTTATTTTTATTATTTTTGTAAAGATGGAGTCTCTGTATGTGGCCCAGGCTGGTCTCGAACTCCTGGGATCAAGTGATCCTCCTGCCTTAGCCTCCCAAAGTGCTGGGATTACAGATGTGAGCCACTGCCATGGTTCTGAGTCAAATTTTTACACACAGTTTATTAGTCTGTTCCAAATGCAGTCAACTCCACATTTGAGGATCAGTCTAAAGTCAATTATGATATGAGATGAATGCAATATAAAAGGAAAGTTTATTATTATTCCTTTCAGATATCTGAAACTTGACAGTACACAGTGTTGTTCTTTTTTTTTCTCCCCCACAGCATTGTTCCTTTTTTTTTTTTTTTTTTTTTTTGAGACAGAGTCTCACTCTTGTTGTCCAGGTTGGAATACAATGGCGCGATCTCAGCTCACTGCAACATCTGCCTCCCAGGTTCAAGTGATTCTCCTGCCTCAGCCTCCCAAGTAGCTGGGATTACAGGCACCTGCCACTATACCCGGCTAATTTTTGTATTTTTAGTAGAAATAGGGTTTCACCATGTTGGCCAGGCTGGTCTCAAACTCCTAACCTCAGGTGATCCACCTGCCTCGGCCTCCCAAAGTGCTGGGATTACAGGTGTGAGCCACTGCACTGGACCCACAGCATTGTTCTTAATACAACATTTGAGAATAGTGTTCCAATGGAGAGGCAATATGGTACAGTTGAACACTGGTCTGCTAAGAGAGAGACCTAGTTCAAGTTCTAGCATTGTTATTTCCTTATTATATGAACTTGATTAAGTTAGTTTGCATCTTTAGACTTCAATTTCCTTGTCTATAACAGAAGACAAGATTAGACAGTCTCAAAGGTCTCTTCACATTCAAAAACTGGCCGGGTGTGGTGGCTCATGCTTGTAATCCTAGCATTCTGGGAGGCCGAGGGGGGTCAGGTAAATCAATTGAGGCCAGGAATTCCAGACCAGCCTGGCCAACATGGTGAAACCTCATCTCTACTAAAAATAAAAAAATTAGCCGGATGTGGTGGCAGGCACCTGTATCTCAGCTATTCAGGTGGCTGAGGCATGAGAATCTCTTGAACCCAGGAGGTGGAGGTTGCAGTGAGCTGAGATTGAGCTACTTCACTCCAGCCTGGGCAACAGAGCAAGACTCTGTCTCAAAAAAAAGAAGAAACAGTTTCATGACTTTATGAGGGACATACAAAACCAGGAGAATTTTTAAACTTTTTTTTTCCTCAAGGATTTTTTTTTTTGAGACAAGGTCTCACTCTGTCACCCAGGCTGGAGCATAGTGGTGTGAGCATAGCTCACTATAGCCTTCAACTCCCAGGCTCAAGGGATCCTCCCACCTCAAGTCTCTTCAATAGCTGGGACTATAGGCACATGCCACCATGACTGGCTAATATTTTTTTTAGAGACGGGGTCTCACTATGTTGCCCAGGCTGGTTTCAAACTGTTGGTCTCAAGCAACCCTCCCGCCTTGGCCTCTCAAAGTGCTGAGATTATAGGTGTGAGCCACTACATCTGCTGGATTTTTAAATTTTTATGGGGCTTTCTTTGGCTTTGCTCTACAAAGGGAAAAATAGGAAAAACTTCATTTCTGAAATTTTCTTAACTTTCACAAGTCCAAAATTGACACAAATATTACAATAGCTTGGCAAGTATAATTCTATAAACTACAAGAATGAAGAAATGTTTCCTCAAACCAACAACTTCAACTTACCTAGAAATTGAAATCAAACACATCTGAGGTTTAAATATCCCTTAGAAATAACTAATGTTAAACTTTTTCTGATTTTTATTTCGTTTTCAAAAATTCCCCTATCCGTGGTCAATTTTTTTTTTTTTTTTTTTTTTTTTTTTTTAATTTTAGAGACAGGGTCTTGCTATGTAGCCCAAGCTAGACTCCCAACTCTTGGGCTCAAACAAGCCTCCCAACTCAGTCTCCCAAGTAGCTGGGACTAGAGGTGTACGTCACCACACCTGGCTTGGCCAATTTTAAATCTAGTTCGTGGAGCAGTTACAGTTCTTTTAAAAAATTAATATAAATGGAGCTGACATTTAACCAAGGTTTCAACTAAATCATACCAAGATTCATGAGATGTAACATCTTATGGTTTTATTGAGTTATACATTTGAATCATTAAAAAATGTGAGACAACGTCCCTTGTGACAATGAGGGAGGCTGTATCTGTTCAGTACATACCTTAAGGTGGTATATTTTCCATTCTAACATCTGCAGTAACTAACAAGTTGGGTCAAGGGACATGTTTCTTTGTGAGAAATGTTCCCTCAGAAGAAAACTGCTAAGTGAAGATGACTAGGAAATGGTTTATTTGAATGACAGAAGTCTGTTTAATTATTTAAAATATGGAGCAGCTAAAAGACAGAATTAAATATTATGGAACCAGAAAGGATTTGAAAGGGGTCCTTTCCATTTCTTTTTATTTATTTTATTTTCATTATTATTATTATCATTTTAGACAGAGTTTCACTCTCATTGCCAGGCTGGAGTGCAATGGCGCAATCTTGGCTCACTGCAACCTCCGCCTCCCGGGTTCAAATGATTGTCCTGCCTCAGCCTCCCAAGTAGGTGGGATTACAGGTACACATCATCATGCCTGGCTAATATTTTTTGTATTTTTAGTAGAGATGGGGTTTTGCCATGTTGGCTAGGCTGGTCTCAAACTCTTGACCTAAAGTGATCTGCCTGCCTCAGCCTCCCAAAGTGCTGGGATTACAGTCGTGAGCCACCGTGCCCAGCCCTTTTCATTTATTTTTTATTATATTTTTTTGATGGATGACTACTGTAAGTTGCGGCAATATTCTAGAATTTGAACCTTTAGAAGTGAAATGTTTCTTGCAATCAGTATTCAGGTTTAAATTAACTGTATGTGAATTTAAGTAGCATGAATCAGTTAACTCTTTGGACCTGATAATTTCACGTCAGATAATTTTTAAGGCTTCAGATTTGTAGGCCTGAGGGAACAAGCTTAGAGGCCAGTTACTTTTAGTAAGAACTTACTATGACAAGAAAACACACATATGCTTCTCAACACAAATGTTTAAGCTACAAACAAAAAATATTACCTCTTTGAAATGAGACATCCAGTTTGCCAAGGTAAGGTGGGAGCTCCTTTAAAAGACATGATCAAAAAAAAAGTTAACTCTCAAAAAATAATAAGATTTTAATGTCTTACATTAAGACACAAAGATACGCTTTTTCAACACGTAGAAGAGTAAAACACTACAAAACATGTTTACATAGGCACCTTTTAGCAGAACATCCCCAACAGCAAATTAACCATATTACTTACGTATGCCATCTACAAAAAATATATCTGTACTATTTAATATAGACCTTTTCACAATAATATACAAAGATTTCAGTAGAAAAATGTCAAGAATACACAATTCAATGAAAATAGAAAAATAACAATTAAATAGATCTTTAAACTCATTAATAATGAAATGTTAATTAAAATTTAATTAGCAAATTTGGTATTATTATAATGCTCAATACTAGTAAATATTATTTTTTATTTTATTTTATTTTATTTTATTTTATTTTATTTTATTTTATTTTATTTTTTTATTTTTGAGAAAGGGTCTCACTCTATTGCCTGGGCTGGAGTGCAGTAGCACAATTATACCTCACTGTAGCCTTGATCGTCTGAGCTCAGTGGATCTTCAGAAGGATCTGTACTTGGCCGGGCGCGGTGGCTCAAGCCTATAATCCCAGCACTTTGGGAGGCCGAGACGGGCGGATCACGGGCGGATCACGAGGTCAGGAGATCGAGACCATCCTGGCTAACACGGTGAAACCCCATCTCTACTAAAAAAAAAATACAAAAAACTAGCCGGGCGAGGTGGCGGGCGCCTGTAGTCCCAGCTACACGGGAGGCTGAGGCAGGAGAATGGCGTAAACCCGGGAGGCGGAGCTTGCAGTGAGCTGAGATCCGGCCACTGCAGTCCAGCCCGGGCGACAGAGCGAGACTCCGTCTCAAAAAAAAAAAAAAAAAAAAAAAAAAGGAGGATCTGTACTTTTGGGAGGCCTCAGACTCCAAAAGCACTGGGACTACAGGCATGAGCCACCGCACCCAGCTGGCAAATGTTCTTTTACCCAATAATTTCCCTTCTGGGAGTATATTTAGAGAAATAATCTTAAAATAGAGAAAACGTTATATAAATAACTTTTATAAATACAAATATTTATATATCTTTATAAATAAAAAGCTAAAGATAGAGAAAGCTTTAATCTTTATGCATAAAGCTGTTCAGTGCAGGCCGGGCACAGTGGCTCACCCCTATTATCCCAGCGCTTTGGGAGGCTGAAACGGGCAGATCATCTGAGGTCAGGAGTTCGAGACCAGCCTGACCAACATGGTGAAACCCTGTCTCTACTAAATACAAAAAATTAGCCAGGTGTGGTGGCGCATGCCTGTAATCCCAGCTACTTAGGGGGCTGAGGCAGGAGAATTGCTTGAACCTGGGAGGTGGAGGCTGCAGTGAGCCGAGATTGCACCATTGTACTCCAGCCTGGGTGGCAAGAGCGAAACTCTGTCTCAAAAGAAAAAAAATAAAATAAAATAAATTCAGTGCAGTGTTATCTATAATGGTGAAAACTTAGAGCTACTCCAATGTCCAACAATAGAAGAATGGTTAAAAATAACTATATATCCACACAATGGAATGGCTATAGTCATTTGAAATGTTTATGAAAGATAAGCATGGAATCTGAAAGGTCAAATACGGTATGATTCCAACTATATGACACTCTGGAAAAGACAAAACTATGGAAACAGTAAAAAGATCAGTGGTTGGCAGGGGATGAGGGAAGGGGGACTGAATAGGCAGAACACAGAATTTTTAGAGCAGTGGAAACATTTTGTATAATAGTATAATTACTGGATACATATCATAATAAATTTGTCCAAAACCACAGAATGTACAAGAGTGAACCCTAATGTAAACTATGGACTATGAGCAATAATATTGTGTCAATGTATGTACCAGTCTGGTGCAGATGTTAAAAGTGGGGGACCCTGTGTCTGTGTGGTAACTGTGCAGGTATGTGGGAACTCTGTATTTTCCACTCAATTTTGCTATAAACCTGAAACTTATTTAAAAAATAAAGTCTAATTTATTTAAAGCATGGAAAAGGCTGGGCACGGTGGCTCACACCTGTAATCCCAGCACTTTGGGAAGCCAAGGCAGGAGGATCACCTGAGGTCAGGAGTTCAAGACCAGCCTGGCCAACATGGTGAAACCCCGTCTCTACTAAAAACACAAAAATTAGCCAGGTGTGGTGGTGCACACTTGTAATCCCAGCTACTCTCACTCTGGTTGAAAAGAGTGAGACTCCGTCTTAAAAAAAAAAAAGAAAGAAAGAAAGAAAAAAAGAGAAACATTATAATAAAAAAAAGAAAAAGGAAACATTTTAAATGATAAACATTTTTCCATGCTTTCCATTGCCCAGGCTGGAGTGCAATGGCATGATCTCGGTCACTGCAACCTCCGCCTCCTGGGTTTAAGCGATTCTCCTACCTCAGCCTCCTGAATAGCTAGGATTACAGACGCATGCCAACACACCCCGCTAATTTTTGTATTTTTAGTAGAGATGGGGTTTCACCATGTTGGCCAGGGCGGTCCCCAACTCCTGACCTCAGGTGATCTGTCTGCCCAGCTAATTTTTGTATTTTTAGTAGAGACGAGGTTTTGCCATGTTGGCCAGGCTAGTCTTGAACTCCTGACCCCTGGTGATCCGCCCGCCTCACCCTCCCAAAGTACTGAGATTACAGATGTGAGCCACTGAGGCCGGCCATTATCATGTTATAATGTTAAAGTGTCTAAAATTCTACATACATGATGCGCAGTGAGAATATAAATCTAAAAAACATAAAAGGTAGAATCCTGTTAACATAAGTGTTTTTTTGGTAGTAAGTTTATGCATGATTTTTCCTTCTGTTCATCAGTATTTACTATAATTAATATGTACATTATAATGATCTTTTTTTTTTTTTTTTGAGACAGAGGCTCACTCTTGCCCAGGCTGGAGTGCAGTGGCGCAATCTTGGCTCACTGCAACCTCCGCCTCCCAGGTTCAAGCGATTCTCCTGCCTCAGCCTCCCAAGTATCTGGGATTACAGGGGCACCACCACACCCGGCTAATTTTTGTATTTTTTAGTAGAGATGGGGTTTCACCATGTTGGCCAGGCTGGTCTCGAACTCCTGACCTCAGGTGATCCGCCCGCCTCGGTCTCCCACAGTGTTGGGATTACAGGCGTGAGCCACTGCACCCTGCCTCGTTTTGTTTTTGAGACAGGGTCTCACTCTTTCACCCAGGCTGGAGTGCAGTGGTACAATCTTGGCCCACTGTAGCCTCAACTTCCCAGGATCAAGTGATCTTCCCACCTCGGCCTCCTGAGTAGCTGGGACCATAGGTATATGCCACCATACCTAAACAATTCCCCCCGCCCTTTTTTTTTTTTTAAGATGGAGTCTTGCTCTGTTGCCCAGGCTGGAGTGCAGTGGCATCATCTCAGCTCACTGCAACCTCCACCTCCTGGGTTCAAGCGATTCTCCTGCCTCAGCCTCCTGAGTAGCTGGGATTACAGGTGTGCAACATCATGCCTGGCTAATTTTTGTATTTTTAGTAGAGATGAGGTTTCACCATGTTGGCCAGGCTGATCTCGAACTCCTGACCTTGGGGGTGATCCACCCGACTCGGCCTCCCAAAGTGCTGGGATTACAGGCGTAAGCCACCGTGTCCAGCCAATTTTCCTATATTTTAATAAAGATGGAGTTTTGCTATGTTGCCCAGCCTGATCTCAAACTCCTGGCCTCAAACAATCCTCCCATCTCAGTCTCCCAAAGTGCTGGAATTACAGGCATGAGCCAGCACACTTGGCTTCAAAATAGTTTTTAAAAATTTCCTGTGACATTTAGTATTTAATCAGTATTTAAATAATATTAGAAATTTTTTACTGAAGCAATATCTGATATTCACTATTTTTAAAAAAAATATTACAGGCCGTGACACCTATTAGCTCTTAGTTTATCATGCATTTTTACTTACACAGTATTTGAGATCAGAGATGTTTACATTGACCCCAGTTGCTCTCTTTAGATTCTCATCATGTGACACTACAACTTGTTCATCTTTTGTGATATGGCAGTCCAATTCTAGCATATCAGTTCCGATTTTAACTGCACTGAAGAAATAAAAGAAGAATGACATTCTGACACTTAAGTATACATTTAGGTTACACACATCAGATCTAACAATTCAGAGTTACAAATCCAAAATCCCATAATATTAAAATATCTCACTACCATCACCTAGTATGACTTATTCACATGAAAATATTCTAAGTGAACTGAGAATAAAAGAATCATGTTGCCTCCTTTCCATAACCAGTTATCCTTAATTCTTCAACTGAATATAATAGAATACTGAATCTGAAGTTAAGAGATTTGATATTAACTCCTGCTTTGCTGTGAACTTGCATAACTTTGGGCAAATAAATTCTTCTCTCAGGGACTACATTTTCACTTCTATAAAATGAAAGGATTAAATAACAAGACAAGGATGCTTGCTTTTATTTTTATTTATTTTTTTGAGACAGAGTCTTGCTCTGTTGCCCAGGCTGGAGTGCAATGGCATGATCATGGCTCATTGCATCCTCAAACTCCTGGGCTTAAGTGATCCTCCTGTCTCAGCCTACTGAGTAGCTGGAACTACAAATGGATGCCACTGTGCCCAGCTAATTTTTTATTGGGCTCATGTGATCCTCCTGCTGCAGCCTCCCGAAGTGCTAGGTTTAAAAGCATGAGCCACTGCACCTGGCCACTTTTATTACTTTGATTTAACGTAGTATTGAAAGCTCTAGCAATTAGGCAAGAAAAAATTAATAAAAGCATCCAAATTGGCCAGGTGCAGTGGCTTACACCTGTAATCCCAGCACTTTGGGAGGCCAAGGCGAGCGGATCACCTGAGGTCAGGAGTTTTGAGACTTGCTTGGCCAACAAGGTGAAATCCCATCTCTACTAAAAACACAAAAAAATTGGCCGGGCACGGTGTCTCAGGCCTGTAATCCCAGCACTTTGGGAGGCCAAGGTGGGTGGATCACAAGGTCAAGAGATTGAAACTATCCTGGTCAACATGGTGAAACTTTGTCCCTACTAAAATACAAAAAATTAGCCGGGCGTGGTGGAACGCGCCAGTGGTCCCAGCTACTCCGGAGGCTGAGGCAGGAGAATCGCTTGAATCCGGGAGGCAGAGGTTGCAGTGAGCCAAGATCACGCCACTGCACTCCAGCCTGGTGACAGAGTGAGACTCCATCTCAAAAAGAAAAAAAAACCACACACACACACACAAATTGGCAGGGCACTGTGGCTCAGGCCTGTAGTCCCAGTTAGTCGGGAGGCTGAGGCAGAAGAATCGCTTGAACCCAGGAGGCGGAGGCTGTGGTGAGCCGAGACCATACCACTGCACTCCAGCCTGGGCAACACAGCGAGACTCCATCTCAAAAAACGTAACAAACAAACAGAAAAAAACCCAGCCTCCAAGCTTTCAAAAAGGCAAATTGGAGAAATATCTCTTGTCTTTCTGCTTGGCTGGCCCTGCAATAATTGAACTTTCTTTACTGTAAAACCATTGTCTCAGTGAACTAGTTTTATCTATGCAGAAGAACCCGTTGGGCATTAAGAATCGGTCAACTTGGCTTGGCGCGGTGGCTCAAGCCTGTAATCCCAGCACTTTGGGAGGCCGAGACGGGCGGATCACGAGGTCAGGAGACTGAGACCATCCTGGCTAACACGGTGAAACCCTGTCTCTACTAAAAAATACAAAAAAAAAAACCAAAAAAACAGCCGGGCGAGGTGGCGGGTGCCTGTAGTCCCAGCTACTCCGGAGGCTGAGGCAGGAGAATTGCGTGAACCCGGGGGGCGGAGCTTGTAGTGAGCTGAGATCCGGCTACTGCACTCCAGCCTAGGCGACAGAGCGAGATCCCGTCTCAAAAAAAAAAAAAAAAAAAAAAAAAAGAATCGGTCACCTTTATATTACGTATATTTTAACATGACAAAATAAACAAAATAAAGCCTGGCCAGGCGCAGTGGCTCACCCCTCTAATTCAAGCCCTTTGGGAGGCCAAGGCGGGCAGTTCACTTGGGGCCAAGAGTTCAAGACCAGCATGGAAAACATGGTGAAACCCTATCTCAACCAAAAATACGAAAATTATCGGGGCTTGGTGGTACATGCCTGTTATCCCAGCTACTCGAAAGGCTGAGGCATGAGAATCGCTTGAGCTCAGGAGGCAGAGATTGAAGTGAGCCAAGATTGCACCACTGCACCCCAGCCTGGGTGACAGAGTGAGACCCTGTCTCGGAAAAAACAACAACAACAAAAAAAGACTGTACTCCCAGCTAAGCAAGAGGCTGAGGTGGGAGGATCGTTTGAGGCCAGGAGTTGGAGGCTGTATTGTGCAATAATCATGCCTGTGAATAGCCCCTACACTCCAGCCTGGGCAACATAGTAAGACCCCATCTCTAAAAGAATGAATAAATAAATAAATAAAAGGATTAGTCCAGACCAGATAATCTTGTAAGGTTCCTTTCACCCCTATGTATTTTAGAGACAGTGTACTGCAGTGGTTAAGAGCACAGACACTGGAGCCTAAATTTAAATACTGGCTCTCCCACTTATTCAAGTGAGTTATTTAGCTTCTTTATGTTGCAGTTTCTTATGTATAAATCAGTGATAATAATATTAGCTCTCTACACCTCCTCCCCACCTTACAGTTTACATTTCAAGCCACTCCATGCCGTCTCACTACTTCCTCTGCCTGAAATGTCTTTTTCAGAAACACAGTACACAAAATAATAGACAAAAACTTGAAAAGTCACTTCACAAATGAAGATTTCCAAATGTCCAATAAGTATATGAAATAGATATTCAACATCAAAATTCATTAGAGAAATGTATATGAAAACCACAGTGAGGCTGAACATGGTAGCTCATGCCTGTAAACCTAGCACTTTGGGAGGCTGAGGTGAGTGGATCACCTGAGATCAGGAGTTGAAGACCAGCCTGGCCAACCTGGCAAAATCTCATCTCTACTAAAAAATGTAAAAATTAGCTGGGCATGGTGGTGCCTGCCTGTAATCCCAGCTACTTGGGAGGCTGAGGCAGGAGAATTGCTTGAACCCTGGGAGGCAGAGGTCACAGTGAGTCGAGATTGCTCCACTGTACTCCAGCCTGGGCTACAGAGCGAGACCCTGTCACATACACACACACACACAAAAATAAAAAGGAAAAAAAGAAAAAGAGAGGGAGGGAGGAAGGAAGGAAGGGAAGGAAGGGAAGGAAAAGAAATTAGAATAATGGTTATCTAGGGGCAAGGAGTGAGTATTGCCTGCAAAAGGTAACACTGATGCCCTCCGCGGTGCTAGAAATATTCGAAATCTTTATCTGGGTGGTACAAAGGTGTACCCATATGTTAAAATTCACTGGGTTATAAACTTAAGATTTGAGAGGCTTGTCATGGTGGCTCATGCCTGTAATTCCAGCACTTTGGGTGGCCAAGGCAGGCAGATCACCTGAGGTCAGGAGTTTGAGATTAGCCTGGCCAACATGGCAAAACCACGTCTCTATTAAAAATACAAAACTTAGCCAGGTGTGGTGGTGTGTGCCTGTAATCCCAGCTACTCAGGAGGCTGAGGCAGGAGAATCGCTTAAACCTGGGAGGCAGTGGTTGCAGTGTGCTGAGATCACACCACTGCACTCTAGCCTGGGCAACAGAGCAACACTCTGTCTCAAAAAGTAATAATAATAATAAGTTGCAGTGGGCACCAGGAAAAGGCAGTTTCCCAGTAGATATAATAGAAAAAACTGAAACTGGGGATCAGCTTTCTAAGATCTCAGGAGTTGGGCAAGTGGGCTCAAGCATGCACACTAAGAGGCAAAATGGCGGAGTTTTACTGGTATGTGATCTTCTAGGAGCATTCAACTGGTAAGGGAAGAATGCCTCAAGAGAGCAGGCGTACAACTCCAGTAAACACACTGCACATGTGGCCCCTCCCAAGTAGCGGCAGGCTACTGTGCAAGCAGACAGCCCATCCCAAGGGAAGAATCAAGGGAGAAGGGACACAAAACCCCGGAAGTATGCCAAAATATAATACCCTAAGTCAAAGGTCAAACTGGGCACTTGATCTCTCAAGTCACCACTTGGCCCTCTTCCAAATGTACTTTACTTCTTTTCATTCCTGCTCTAAAGCTTTTTAATAACCTTTCACTCTTGCTGTAAAACTCGCCTTGGTCTCTCCTTCTGCCTTATGCCCTCAGTCAAATTTTTTCTTCTGAGGCAAGAAATGAGGTTGCTGCAGACCCCCATGGATTCACTGCCACTAATAGAAGGGACTATGTCTGTTCCATATTTTCTAATGTTTATGGTGTTGGGCACATTGTAGGTACTCAATATATTTCTAAATGAGGGGAATGGAGCCATGTTATTGTTATCAACATCTATTAATATTTTAAATTTTAATTAATTCTAACTCAGAAGGCACCTAAGTGTTTATCAATCATGATCCAAATCCATAGTATGTAATATGTAGTCATTTCAAAGAATATAGAATTCACATGGAATAGCATTGTTGGGGTATATCTGAATTTTAAAATAGGTATGATGATAGACACAGGAGACAGCCAAGGATCCCTGGTGGAACCCCACCTTCAAGCCTAAAACAGCCTGATGGCTGAAAGACTGAACTGTTGGTCCAGGACAAAACTGCAGCCCAGAGGGAGAACTGCCCCTGTTCGCTCACATTTTTTTTTTGGCGGGGGGGATTGAGTTTCGTTCTTGTTGCCCAGGCTGGAATGCAATGGCACAGTCTTGGCTCACCGCAACCTCCACCTCCTGGGTTCAAGCGATTCTCCTGCGTCAACCTCTCAAGTAGTTGGGATTACAGGCGCCCCACTATGCCCACCTAATTTTTGTATTTTTGGTAGAGACAGGGTTTTACCACGTTGGCCAGGCTTGTCTCAAACTCCTGACCTCAGGTGATCCACCTTCTTTGGCCTCCCAAAATGCTGGGATTACAGACAAGAGCCACCGCGCCCGGCCTGCCCACCTTTTCCTAACTATTTTTTTTTTTTTTCTTGTAGACAGAGTCTCACTCTGTCACCTGGCCTGAAGTGCAGTGGCACGATCTT